CAGAGAGGTCAAATTGGACGCCCAACTCCACACTAGGCTGCCCAGTCCCTGCCTGGCCTAGTGTGTTGGTCTTGCTTCCAGAAATAAAACTGGGGAGAAGACACATGATAAACTTATATGGTGCTTCTACAGCTTCTGTCATGAGCCTGTGCAGCTCTGCTCGACGCCTGGCCCAGCCCATCATCTTTCCACTGAACCCAAACACCAAAGAACAGGATTTGGAAAATAGGAAGGTCCTCGTAACCCAAGGGGTTTCACAATGTTGTTTTGCCTGCTGGGCAACCATGTAACATTCACTGGAAAGGTGCCTACACACCTTTCCTCTTCCAGCATCTCACAATTTGTAAGAATCCCATTACTGTTATTGTTCAGCAGGACAGAGGTGCTCTTTTTCTAAATGCATTTTCACATCCAAGACATCTCACCTCTACGACGAGCTGCAGATCGTCCATGTACCTTTCCTCCGTCTGAATGAGCTCGTGAATGTAGCCCTGCCTCTTCCTTTCCATTGGCTGCATGGTGTCAAGGCTCTGGAGATCAGCACACCCTATAAGAAGTAAGACAGAAGTTTAGATCCCACTCAAGGCACCAGATGTGATGAATTAAAAGAATTGCACCAGCACACACCAGCCTGTGCCTCAGACCACACAAACAGCAGCAGCGGGTTTCAAAATCGAGTGATGTAGTGATTGACCCCCTCCCTCCTTTGTGTCATTTTTCAGTCAACTTTTTATTTCTTCAAATGCCCCTTGTTTTTGTACTGTGATGCAGAATGAGAATTCCTGACTTCCTGCCACTCCATTGGTCTCATGACTTTTCTCACCTCTTCTGCCACACTGATTTGAAACTTTCCTCTTACCTCATGCAATGTCTTTTTGGACTTGATCTTAAAGATCTTTTCCAACCTTAATGGTCCTATGATTCTAAGTTCTCTTTTGTGAGATGAAGTAATGAAAAATGTGTCTGGTCCTGACTTAGGACATCACACCTTTAATCCCCACCCCATTTCTCAAGTCCTCTGCCTTAGTTAATAATTTATGATAAACCACCACTACAAATTTTTAAAGTTATAACACATAATGTTATATCTGTGTAACTTCACAGTTGCATAACTTTTTTTTCTAAAATGAGCCTGAAATATGTTGAATTATTTTTATGTATCAATTACAAATAATCAAAATCATGCACAGGAACACACTGGCAGTCAGTGACACAAACCCCAACTTTCTGTAAGAACATGCAGGCCCTACAGCTTCACACAGCTCTTTCTCTACTGTATGTTAGTAAACAAGACAACAGTGTTCAAACTTTAGTAACCAAACCAAAAATTGGTAAAAACAAAGTGGTTTAGCTGGGTAAAGGAGAGAACAGAAAATCAATCTGGATCTGTCTGTCAGCCATCACATGCCAGCAGAGGACTGCGAAGCAGCAGGGTGGGGGAAAAGGAGAAAAAAAGGAACAATTACAGAGAGTTTGAGAACATCCTTCTATTGCTGGGTGTGATGGCATCGCATTGTAATACCAGGATAGCAGAAAGGACATCGCAGGAACTCATTTAAATCCGGCATTTCTAGAGGAACAACACTTCATGAAAATTGACAGGTGGTGTGAAAGGCAGGGTGACCTACACAGAAAGGGCTGTGCCTCCCCATCACCCTGACACACCTGGGACACAAGGATGTGGCTTTATTCACTACCAGTGTATAGATCTGTTTATGGGAGGGCTGCTGTAAATAATGGAGTTAGTAATAAATTTGAGGGGAAAAACACTAAGAAACACTAAACGTCTGGCTAAACTTGATGAGACAGTGACCTAGCGGGAACCTCACAGGCATCAAGCTGCTCTGAAGGAGCAGCAACTGTCAGCAAAAGAGAAACTTATCAAGTGAACTTATGACACCATGCCAAGTATTCTAACAGGGAAACCCTTTGAACAACACAAAGAAGTGAAACAGCAAAGGCAACAACCAGATTGAAAATCAGGACTTTTCAGTTCTGTTTTGCACCCTAAGGAGGATCACAGATCTTAAGCCTTCTGACAAGATTTGCAAAACCACCACTTTTTACAAAGAGATCTGGGATTGCAGCTCTTTTGATTGTGCAGAGTGCTGCTTCTGGCCTTAGTTATCCCCAGAGTTACAATCAGGCCAAAATTAGATGAGAAAAAGAAGTAAAGTTATAGACTAAAGTCATTCTCGTGAAGTTTGGTATCTCAGTCCATCGAGACGGTCTATGGCCAATGTGTGCTACTTCTGTCACTCTTCAGTCTGTACAGCACTGAGTTTAAGCTCACCAGTTTCCTAAGACATGACATTTTAAGATAATCAGGAGTTTGCACAGTAACCAGGCTTTATTTATCCAGATTTGGAAGTCTCAGCTTTGACCACGTGGTCACATCAGCAGGGATGGACTGAAGCTCCTGTCTGCTTGTATTCCAGCTGTTGGAACAATCCACACGCTGGGATTTGGGTCTGTCCCATGCTGCCCACTGAAAGCAGAAGCAAACACTGGAAGAAAAACGTGCCTTTTTCTGCATTAAAATAGATTTGGTTCATAAGCTCATTATCAGATGCAAAAATGCAGTTACATTAACTGACTCCTGCGCTAACCTTGTATTTGGCCTGTCAGCTTCTGGCATGAAGGGACAAGTGCTGTTTTGTGTTTAATATTTTATTTGATTTTATTTAAACACTAGTGTTTACTAGTGAAAACACTCCAAATTTTGATACGTCTGATGATATCGGCATAAAAACACAGTACGTGATCCCCACATCTGATTTTAGAGGGTGAATTCAGGCATTTGGGTCTGAAGGGAAGAAAGGAATGAGACCAGAGAACAAACCAGCCTACCTGGTGCATTTGCCAATGTTTTCCCAAAGCGTCCATAGCAACCCATGGGCTCACCGGTACAGAAAGGGTGGACCTACATCTCTACACCTTCTCCTCCCACATTTCTGTTCCCTCCTTCCCTTGCATCAATTCTGGCACTTGTCTGACTCCCAGCTGACACCCTGGCAGCAAACAAATCCCAAGGGGGGCGGGGAAAGAAAACAGTATTTCTCTTCTAGTTTAGCAGCCAGGAATGTGCAGAGAAGCAATAAAACTGTCTTGTTTGGCAGTAGAAAGCTGTTGGTTTGGTTTGGCATCTGAAGCTCCAGATGCAACTCATGAAAAGCAGTGAGATTTCTGGGAGCATCTGCAGAGGGGATTGCAGCTACTCACTTCCTCTGCTTATTGAGAAGGTTTCCTGATCTTTGGAGGGGAAGCCAGCCTGCCTCTCCCACCAAGAGCAGGTAGTGCTAAGCTTTCGACTGCCTGGAGCATGACCTGCCCAGCTCCCTTCTCCAGAACATTGACTGGAGTGAGCAGTCAGTGTCTGGTACCTTGGAAACTTGGGACATACCAACAAAGATATGCCTACACCACCTGTGGTGCCTTCTGTGCTAAATCCTGCTCTCCAAGGGGAGGAAGCACCTGCCTCACCAGGGCAGGGCAAAACAAGCTGGAGAGTGTATAAACAGGAAGTCCCAGTCTCTACAGTTGTGTTTAAAATTATACTTTCCCTTCCAAATATACCTGGACAAGGAATATTTTTTCCTACTAGGATAACTGCCGCTGCCTGAAACACCACCACATTCCACAGTCCAAAGATGTTCTGCTCTGGAGGAGACTCACATGCCTGAAAAACATGGGGGCTGGGGGTGAAAACCTTTCCAATTACTGACATATTTTGGATTTGAGCACGTTCAAGGGGAAGAGTGACACTTTCTGAAGAAAAGAAATCCCCCAAAGAAAGAAAAAGATGAATGAGACCTATCACCATGTCATTTTTTTCTTGGTTAAAAAAATTAATGAATTAAAATTCTTCACTTAAAAGCCAATTCCAGAGAACTGAAGTAAAAAGCAGATGAATAAGAGGCTTTCCTAGATGCCCAGAGCTGCTTGGGCACTGAATGCTTTCTCCCATTCCCCAACAAACTTCCCCTCTCAATGAACAAGGAAAAAACACATTAGAAATGACAGCTTAACCCTCCAACAGGAGTTCAGGCACTTGCCCAGAAGGACCTATCTAGACCAGAGGCATTAACTGCTTTTGGTCACCAGTGAAGACTATTTAGGGGTAGAGAGGAGTTTAGATTGGATATTAGGAAAAATTTCTTCACGGAAAGTGTTGTCAAAGACTGGAATGAGTTGCCCAGGGAAGTGGTGGAGTCTCCATCCCTGTAAGTGTTCAAAGAATGTGTGGACATGGCACTTGAGGAGATGGTTTAGTGGTGGGATTGGCAGTGTTGGGTTCTTGGTTGGACTTGACGATCTTAGAGGTCTTTTCCAACACTAATGATTGTGTGATTCCATATAAACTGCATTTTTAAGGAAATATATTGGTTTGTTTAGGGTTTTGGGTTTGGTTTTTTTTAAGGGGGTTAGTTGGTTGTGTTTGGTTTTTTGTTTGTTTGAATCCCAAGCCAGTAGATATGGCTGGGAAAAGCAAGTAAGGCTTGGGGTTTTTTTCCCTGTCTCTTATTTTCCCAAGCTGCCATAGGAAGGCCACATCTCACCTTCAGGACCATGGGCTGGCATTAGAACAGTCCCTTCAGTACAGCCAGGGAGCAGCTGGTGGCATCATGGGACACCACCCATAGCTACTTACAAGCTCTGCTGGCACACTCCTGTCACTGCCTGGAGCAGCCTCTGTGCTATTGAAACCCACAAAAGGAACTAATCCAAGAAACCTGTGGCCATGGAAAAGGTGGTTTCCATCAGGCCCTAGGAAAAATAATAGAAACTTTTGTCCAATCTCCCCTAATCAGTAAATGCAGGATACTCTCTCTGCTACAATAGAGGAAATTCATGATTCAATTTCCAAGAGGTAAAAAGCAAGACCAAGTCTCTCCATCACAGAGCCAGGCAAGACAATGCTTGTACCGAGCTATTCAGCTGGGAAAAAAAATCCTCCCCAGATGGACAAAAAAACCACAACAGACAAACTAGATCCTTTTATGTGTCCCTTTAATAAAATACATTTGCATAGTTATCTTACAACGTCGTTTAAAACCAAGGGTGAACAATTGCCTCATGCTAAGCACAGCCTGCATTCGCATGTCTCAACAACCATCCCTGCACACGGACACTCAAGCTTGGGAAGAACAACAGGAGGGATCTTAAGGCAGCACACACCATTACACAGCAGTTTTATTGGTTCATTACATTGAAGTAGCACAACCCTGCAGCAGCTCCCACTGCAGGCCAAGGATTGTCCGCATTCCTACAAGCAGACTTATTTACAGGTGTTTCCAACCCGGCTCAAGGAAATCACACAGGGATACAATCTGACAAAGCATTGAGATGGCAAAAATATTCAGTGACTGGTAGGAGATGTTTCAGTTATTAGTGTGTAACTTTTTGATGGAGCTTTATGCCTTCTGCACTCCTGACTGCACCATTAATCACATGGAGAAAGTGCTCTGGATGCTCTCAGCCCTCACCACCACTGACTCCTTGCACAGCCCAGCCCTGAGACCGGGTCCCAGTAGTGGCACAAGACCTTCCTGCATGGATCCAAGTCTGGATCAGGAACTAAGCTTGTGTAAAACTAGGCTTGTGTAGCTTGTTAGTCCATTACATAAACCAGACAGTTACAGAATTAGGAAGTGTTTTGGTACCTGTCCTTGTGCATTTACAGCACTGTTCATGTTCTCACCCCAATGACACCAGGGCCCCTGTTCTCTGCTAGCCCACAGGAAACAACATTAAGCAAATACTACACTGCAGGCAGCAGCATATTTCACTTTCCATGTTGGCTCCAGTGACACCTGTTAACCTTGTGTGGCTCTGAGCAACATTTAAACTCTCAGCTCTTGCCCGGGAACCATCAGTTAAACAAAAAACTCTATTTTCCAGTTTGCCCTTAGTTCCACAGCCAGCCTTTTTCACCCAAATCAGGGTGATTTTACTTGGTTGGCTGGGATGACCAACTGAACTCAACTCTGTGGACCTTTAGCAACAAGGGGTGGATTGCACACAACCAGAGAAAAAAAGTAGCATTTTTGAAAGAAAAAGTCTGATTTAAACCCAAGCTTCTATTAGCTCCACCTCTTCATTGATACAGACCATTAATTAATAATAATCTTGCCATAAATACATCCTTGCCATGGTCTTTCCCATGGATGACCTGATGTGTGTATCCAACCCTTTCTGCATCAATGTGCAGGAGAGCAGAGCTGTGCTAGACAGACTTTTGCAGGAGAGACAAATACTGAAGGCAGGGACTGAGTCTCTTTCAATCAGCATTACTAAGATGTGTTGTTATTATCTTTGTTATTACAGTTAGAGAATTTAGAGCGTACTCAGTTAATACTGAAACACAAAAAGGTTACTGTGAAACCACAAGATGCTTCACTTTAATACTCTTCAGTTCTAATTTAGAGGCAGCAGTTTCAATAATTTTCAATGCTCATACCTACATACCCAACAACAGGGCTCCCCGTGTGAAACTTTACCTAACAGTGCCCTAATCTCCAATTGTATCAGTTAAAAAATGTGTAGCATGCCAGCTGCTTTTGGAAAATGCCACATAACTATGTCCTCAAACATGCCACAGAGGATGTTTTTAGTTTTTCAAAGACCATTAGTAGCAATCTGGCATTCAAGGAAAACTGACTGAACATTGGGAAGTCAGTGCAGCTCAAATCCCACAGGTTAACAGTGCCTTTTAGAAATGAGATAATTTGGAAGATCACCCAATTCTCAGATTACAGTGATTGCTTGATGCCACTGGTGCAGCAAAAGACACTTCAGTCTGTATTAAACAGGCCTTCCAAGACAGAAATTCAGAGAAGGCAATCCTGGATCAGTAGCACATTTTAGTAGAAACACTTGAAATGTAGTTTCATAAGGAAATCAAGTCATCTGGAATAGTCAAAGGATTATCTAGCACATTATTTGCCTACAACAACGCAATTTCATTCTATAACAGAATACTGGTTCAGATAAAATACATCCAGAATAAAAACCCATTTGTAGTTTTCTGTAGGCACATTGCTTAGTCCATATTGCACAGAAGATACATCTCTGAACTAAAGGGCACATATACATTATTTGATCAAGTATATTAAATACATAACATTGAGATTCTGGAGAAAGGCTTTTAAATTTTTGCAATTGGACTAACCTTTTCCTGATAGTACCTTCACAACATTCATAAGTATATATATATATATATATGTCTCTGTAGTAAACAAGCAGTGTTTTGTAAACATTTCTGATTGCATAAATGACTTTTGCTGTTTCGTAACCAAGTTCAGGAAACCAACTACTTTAAATACTGTGTCTATGAGATTTCTCCTGTTGCTACAAGAGCACAGAACTATTTAATCAGAGAAGGCTGCAATTAAATTAATCCTTTTATTTAAAGGGGAATCAAGGTTATAAGTCCCTCCTTCCCTCCAAACATTACAGTAAGACATGGGCACCATTACTGCACTTTACTGGTGACACACCAGGGCTGTGAAGGACCACCTTTGGGCTGAGGAGCACAGTTCCATTCCTAAACCCAAATGCTCTGCTCTCAGCTCCAAGTGTCACTTAGTGTCTCTTTTCTGGCAACACCTCTGTATCGAGGTTAGCTGTGCACTAAGGCTGCTGGTTTATTCACCAGAAGGAAGAGCAGCAGCTTTCAGACAAGTACTTTGAGTCACTGCAGAGTGCAGCCAGACATAAACAATTCTGTACCATTGACTATTTAATGAAGGGGCAGGGAAAGGGCCTGGTCACACAGAGGCTGTGTAAGTACTTACTGCAGCAACTAGCACGTTTGCCAAAACTGAAAGCAAATATGAATTATCAGCATAAAGTATTTAAAGGAAGGAGGTTGTTTAGGGATAGAATGTATTGAGCCAAAACAACCTGAATTCCTGCCACAGTACTACTGTGAAGGAAGAAAAAAATTAAAACTATCCTCCACTCTATGCTTAATAGTTCTTTCCCCAGTTAAAAAGGGTTTTAAAAGGCTGGATGGACTGCACCAGATCTAACCCTTAGATCCTGTAGCATATTTGTAATCACAGTGACTATCAGCAGCAGACAGGTAGGGTTTGTTTCTGGATGAGCCATGTAGGCTGTCAATTTTAAAAGCCCAATATGTAAGAGATTAAATCAAGTCCATTAGAACAATAATCGGTGAACATTTTAATTCTGCAAAATATGTACATTACAACATTAAAAGAACACAACTGCCCATTCAAAACAGCTCAGATAAACTGTGCAAATAGTGGGTCTTTGTGTGTCTGCAATCCCACCATGCAAAAGATAACTTGATATGCATGCTAATAACTATGGTTATCAATACCAAAGGAAATACTAAAGGAAACAAGAATGAACAGCAGTGAAAGCCACACAAAGACCCACTATCCTTTCTGCTTTTACAAATCAACTGAAACTGTAGATCAGAAGAAAAAAAACCACAAAAACCTAATTTCTTGATTGGATCTAATGTTCAAACGAAGCAAAAGGATTGTGTCAGACACGTGAGCAGGGCTGGCCACCCTGCCTCCACGCTAGTCAAACTTGGATAGTGGGTCTCTGAGGTGCTTTCACACTGGAAGACAACATTGGGTCCTAAAAAAAACAAAAAAAAAATGAAGGATAAAATGAACATAAATTTGAAGAGTGAAACATATGAGTTATATGGACAAAGACAGAACAACACCAAAAAGGTCAGAAAGGAATGATGAACAATTCAACTTTCTGAAAACAGACATCATGAGCTTCCACCTTTGCAATTTCATATTTATAAACACACACAGATTTAAGTACTTGTGACCAGCCACTGCTGACTCTGAAAAACCTCTGTAGCTGATTCATTTGAAGAAAAAGTTGCTTCCCAAGGAAGACTTCTGTTATGTAGACTCAACACAAGGTCAAGCCCCAGGGGTTTGTTTTTAAAGGCAATGGCAAAATTCCCTGACATTTCAACAAAACCAGGATTTCTCCTGAGAAATTTGTAATGGGACATTAGAAAATCAGATAAAAACTAAACTTGTATAGAAAAGCCTTGCTGGAATTTGTTCATATAAATTAACACATAAAAATTTACCTGTTTGACTCTCTTCAAAGCCTAAAAGAAATTAAAGCCTTGTCTCCAGTAACATGTGTCCATGGAGCAGGATGTACGACATCCCTCAATTCCCCATCAGAAACCAAAGGCTACACAGACTGAAAAGGCACTGACTGCAAAGTCAGGCTAAAGGCAGAGGCGTGACATGGGCTGCAGCTGCACATACCTTGTGGGCAATCCAGAGACTATTCCATACCCCAGGATTTCAACCTGGAAGCTTTATCCAGCCTGGCTGACAATCACCACATAGTTTTAGAAATACAGAGTCAGTGTGTCACTATGAACTAATTGACTGACTTTGATCTTTGGTAAAGGGGTAAAATTCTGGAGCTGTTGAGTTAAATCTTAGAATAAATTATTAATCTTCATGTGATAAAAAATTCACATAGACCTGCAACAGGCAACACCTCAAAGCCACTGATACCATGAACTCTTACTCCATAAAGAGAAGTTACTTGGCAAGAATTAGAGAACTTCAAAATGTGTGTCTGTATATAGACACAGAAATGCACCCACCACAACCACATCAACTCAGAAGTTGTTTTCTCACTATGAACACTCTTGAAAATCAGGCAGCTTCACTCCCTAGACAGTGTGCACACGAATTACTAATGATCTTCTCTGCATGAAAATAGACTTCTGGAAATAAAGAACCTTGTTGGTGAAAGGACAGGGTTTGCCTCATGTCTCTAATATGTCACATCTATAAGTGAGGTTCGGGGAGCAAACTAACTAGGTAGATATAATGGTATTACTATAAATACCAAGTTTGTACCTAAGGAAATTCACACTGTTGTCATACGTGCATCAAGAACAGTCTATGGAGAGAGGATCTGTGCCCAGTCTCACCACCTGTTGCCATGGCACTGGCAGAAGGCAGAGCAGGCAGGTTTAAATGGGGAAGGAGGTGGCTCTCAGGCTATAGAACTACTTGGAGCTCAGGCCTGAGCACACATAGGAAGTTACTCAGATGAGTGAGGAACTGCAGCAATGCTGGGCTATGGAAAGGAAAAAGTGTGAGCAGAAACACTAACAGTACATTACTGTGAGAGTTGTGAGACACTGGAACAGGTTGCCCAGGGAGGTTGTGGATGCTCCATCCCTGGCAGTGTTCAAGGCCAGGATAAGTGGATAACGCCTTCAGTAACCTCTACTGGAAGGTGTCCCTGCACATGGCAGAGGGGTTAGAACTAGATGATCCTTAAGGTCTGTTCCAACCCCTTAACATTATATGATTCTACTAGAGTAGGAAGAACTGGCACAACATTCAGCTCTGTGAAAGACCAGTCTCACAGAGGGAGATGAGGCACCTCAGCCAGGACGAACCAGAAGCCTCTCTGCACACTGAGCACAGGTGTGTCCACTTGGCTGAGCTGTCCAGCTCTCAGTAAGAATGACTCTGAGAGATTAACTGATCTCTAACACTAAAAGATATCAGTAGAGTGTGCAAATGTAGCTGGAGCAGCTGTCTTGCCTCTATCTGAGGTACCTGAGGGGAGAAAATCTCAGCTAAAAAAAATATAAGGATAAGGTTCACACTGCTCTCACAGATAAGAAGACAAACTGAAAAAAGCTGTCTCACTGAAAAAGCCAAATAATGAGAGAATAAGTTTCCAAGAGCGAGGCAGGTAAAGGTTGGCTGAAACAGAATTATCTCCAGATCAGGCTATTGAAAAGAATTGTAAAGTGCCAAGTGCACCATGCCTATCCTGCCTTACACATCCCTTAGGGAAGAATGGGAAGAGAACCTGGTAGATGTGTTCTAGGCAGGTACTGGCAACACAGAAAACATCTGATCCTGAATGGCTGAGCAAGCACTCAAAGAACAGAAGACTCTGATTCTGTGCATATTTCTTTATTTTAAATATATAGGTGTATTTTGAAACCTTGTTTATTCTTTATGATAGCTTTTGTGCAAACATTAGAATGAGGGCTATTAAAATGTCATTAAAACACGAGCAAGTCTAATCATCACCAAGGTTACTGAGAACACAACTCAACGATTCCTTGTTCTGCAATCACCAGGTATTTTAAGAGACCTGTTGACAAACCTACAATGCCCTGAATTGATTTTCTTTCTTTCCTTGCAGAGACCCTGTGTCAGGACGTGCAGCCACACCACGAGGAAAAGTGAACTTGTTCTGCTCAGGGAGCTATTTCAGCAACTTAAGAAACATCTCGCTGACCTCAGTTCCTTCTTTGCTAGGGAAGTTTGTCATTACAGCTATAACTAGTAACTCCCAGAAAAGACTCTGGATACAAAGTTGGTCCAGATAATAGAGTTTAAATTTGAGGGAAATCAAGAATTTTCGTAAACTGCAAACCTATTTCAGTAAACCAAATCTGCCTGCTGCCTTTCTAATGCCACTGTATTTGATCATCTAGAAAAGACGGTGGGAGACAAACTGCTATTCATCAACAGAAACATTACAATACTCAGATTAGCAGTTCTTTAAAATACAAGGCATTTTTAAAATCACATTCTGTCATATCTCTAAGCTGGTCCCTAGAGGGCCACATCAACACTTCTGTGGGAATAGTGATTTCTCAAGAATACTAGTGATAGTTTCTGCACTGTGTTTAAACAAGAGCAAAAAACACTGTAAGGAAATTCCAAGGAAGTTTGGAAATTCAGTCAGTACATATTTAAATATTCCTCTGGTTACAGGAGAATGGTACAGAACTGGCTTACTGCTAACACAGCTGACCAGCAGCAGTTCAGCTGAAACCTGGGTAATGATATCTGCACAATGCTGGGTTTGAGTTAACAAGCCATGCTGGTTGTTTTGTGCAGGCCCTGGGTTTGAAGCAGGATTTTTCCTGAAGTTTCCAAATGCCTACTTTTTAATGTCACGAAAGAGTGGCAAATCCCAACACAAAACTGATGTATAACTTAGCTTATTTGAAATACTTAGAGAATTAAAAAAAAATACATAAGTTCAACATACTCTTCATTCACCAAGAGGTGGATTTTGTAGATCTGATTCATAGACAAAAGTTTAGCAACCAGATACAGATGAGCAGGTGCACATCTGCTCACGTGACTGACCTTTCTGAAAATACTTTCAAAGCACAGCCACAGTTTGATGTGGATGGAAATGTTTTTATTCCGCAACACTGAAACCTAAGGAAAAGCCTAATGCCATATCAGCAAATAATGAGACAAACTTATCATATCAGAAGTTTCCAATTACATTTTGATCTTAGCACAGCTTTTGCTGAAAGTCAGTGCTATATGATCACCTTGAACTTATCAACTTGGCCACATACCTCGAAATGGTAGCACACCTGGGGTGACAAGCTGTTCTCTCTGTAATTTTTGAAAATTCATGAAGTTCTACTACTTCGCCAGAATCGTAATTTTATAGCCCATCTGGATGTAGTCTATACTATTTATTCAAAACTGAGATTTGTAAACAAATTAAAGCTTTCAAAGGACCACTTTAATGATTTAGCCTTGTCTAATCAAAAGAATGTAAAGCTCAATCTAAATGCAGAAGTTTTTGACATCCCAACCACACTGGCCAGAGGCATTTAAAAAAAAAACAAAAAAAACCAAACCCAAACCAATGCATTACCAAAAAATGTGAGCACAGAAGTAATTTAGCTAAAAAGAAAACCTCAAAAGAAGGATGCACACTCTGTTTTGCCCAGGAACCATAACAAGCTACCCAGGGAAAATATTTTAACTTTCCCATCCAAGCTGTAACCTTCATTACAAGTTTGTGAATCCTCCTGGAAGAACACAACCATGTTGATCAAACCTGAAGTGCAAACTGGTCCTACACACAAGCTATAGGCTATTAAGAGTGAACCTCAACCAGACTTGCAGATAAAAAACTCCTAATGAAGCCAAGGGAAAAACAGCAAGTGAAGAGACAAGACCTATCATGTCAAAGGAGCAACTCTGCCACCGGGGTATGTTCCCAAACTCCCTTGATTGATATAAAAGTTGGTTTAATTACAGGATGAAAAGCTGAGGGAATAAAAATGGTGGTAAATTTCTCTGTGGAGAGGGGCCAAAAAATGGGGTTGCATGTGTGTGGGACACCAGAAACCTTTACTGTGTTTATGTTCAAAAAAGGCACAGAAAATACTGACTGCCAGGTGCACAGTTTAGCCTTCAGTTCTCAGCATGCAGCTGGTAATTTTCAGCTCATGTTTTCATTATGTGTTGTTTCTCAGAACTGGACGAGAGTTGGATTGCTGGGAGTCAGGACATGGGCATTTACCACAGGATAGACCACTTGCTAATGCCACTATCTTTTTCCTATTGTTTTTATGGTTATTTTTACTTAACTTATGTTAAAATGACTACAGATACTTTTTGTAATTTTATGAAGCTCCAGCAAGTTCTATAATTGTAGTATGCCTGCACTGCTTCCCAATCCGTGTTAGTTATCAGCATCTTTCTTGGAAGGGGAACTCCTACCAAATCCAGTATTTTTAGCTCATCCTCACAGTCTTGCTGTCACACACTGGCTGACTGGTAATGTGCTTGCTGTTTGTAGGTTAAATAGAAAAGGGTTTAAAGCACTTAGTACTATTGTAAAGTATTTAAAGAAAGAGTATTTAAAGTACTAATCAATTCAGCTGATGCCTGGAACTACAAATCCCAGACACAAAGCAAAACAACAACAATGCACCTTTGAAATAAAGTAATAAAATTAATAAAAAAAGTTGCTTACACTGCTGACTTGGATCGGAATCCGTGGTCATCTTCACATAGTTTGAGGGGAAGAGACCTGTCACACCACTGATTTCTCCTTGCCACCAGTCAGCATCATCTTTGTTCAGTACATTAATCAGCTGCCCCTTGGAGAAACTGAGCTCATCCTCATTGTTCGCCGTGTAATCGTACATGGCTATCACTTGACACACTATGAAGGGAAAAAAAATAGTAGAATAGAGTTATACAAGTATTAAGACTGTTTATTCTGTGTTTTACATAACCACAGGAAAGGAACAACAATTTCACGTACACAGTTACATAAGAAAAATACCACACGAGCTTATCTTGATGTGGAAATTTTTTTCTGTTACATTTTTAAAATTGAGCCAGACAGTAACTTTTATTTCCACGTTGTATATCTATGCACTCATATAATGAATGGATTGAGTTAGTATAGCAGCTATTGACCTTCTAAAAGTTTGTGAATACAATCAAGTATTCTTCCATTTCTTTTACTGGCTGAAAAGAAAGTGAGTTTGATTATGTTATAGCAGATACTTGTGAGAAAAATGTAGCAAAGGAAGAGGAAATGTGAGTTAGCTAATCCTGGGCTGCTGCTTTAGTCACAGGGAAGTTCTGCCCAGTAAAACCCAGGAAATTGTTGTATAAGCAAATCATAACTGTAGAGAACAGCACAATTTAAGCATGAAGAACCAAAAGAGCTTCCTTTCTGCAAAATAATCTCATTTGTACCCAGACATTCAAATGGAAAAACTGAGTGAAAATTTGCTGCTTAGTCTCCCTCCTTATAAGGAGCAGTGCATGTAATTCCAAGTTATTTGTCAATGACTGCTAGCTCTCTGTAGGATTTTTGCTAGCACTTGGAAACATGGAGTTTCCAAATGAGAAGAGTGTGGTTCTTCAATGCTTTTAGCAAAAACAAAAAGCTCTTGCCATAGAAATCTGTAAGGGTCAGTGTCCATCTTCTGAATACAAACACCTTTGTATGACTGAGACTTTCTGCTCTGAGGTGTGCAGAAGACAGTACATGTCAGGGAGGGAGTCTGTGAAGAACTGCTTTGATTACAAAGTTGTGAGATTTTGCCTTTCTTGGAGAGAGGGAGGAGCTGAATGGACAAGATTGCCAAAAGACTAGAACTTTACCTGCATAGTGATATCACAATCACATATGGGCATGTAGAGGGTTTGTGTGGCCAGGTTTTGGCAAAGTCGGGGGGCTACAAGGCTGGGTTCTGTCAGAAGATGCCAGAAGCTTCCCCATGTCCGACAGAGCCAAGGCCAGTCGGTCCAGGACAGACCCACCGCTGATCAAGGCTGAGCCCATCAGTGACAGCGGTAGCACCTCTGGGATAACAGGGATAAGAAGGGGGGAAAAATTCTGCAACTGCAGCCAGGACAGAGAGGAATGAGAATATGCGAGAGAAACAGCTCTGCAGATGCCCAGATGAGTGAAGAAAGGGGTAGGAGGTGCTCCAGGTGCTGGAGCTGAGATTCTTGTGCAGCCCATGGTGAGGCAGCTGTGCCCCTGCAGCCCATGGAGGTCCATGGGGAAGCAGAGATCCATCTGCAGCCCGTGCAGGAGACCCATATTGGAACAGGTGGATGTCCAAAGGAGGTTGTGACCTCATGGAAAGCCCACACTGGAGCAGGTTTGCTGGCAGGATTTGTGACCCTGTGGGGAACTGACACTGGAGCAGCCTGTTCCTGAAGGACTGCACCCCACAGGAGGTATCCACATGGGGCAGTTCGTGAAGACTTGCAGCCCATGGGAAGGACCCACATTGGAGAAGTTCACGAAGGACTGTCTCCTGTGGAAGGGACCCCACACTGGAGCAGGGGAGGAGTGTGAGGAGTCCTCCCACTGAGGAGGAAGGAGAGGCAGAGACAACATGTGATAAACTGGCCACAGCCACATTCCTCATCCTCCTGTGATGTTGGAGGGGAGGAGGCAGAGAAATTGGGAGTGAAGTTGATCCCAGAAAGAAGGCAGGGGTGGGGGGAAGGTGTTTTAAGAATCAGTTTTATTTCTCATTACCCTACTCTGATTGGTAATAAATTAAGTGAATCTCCTCAAGTTGTGTCTGTTTTGCCCCTGTTGGTAACTGGTGAGCGATCTCTCCCTGCCCTTATCTCAACCCACGAGCCTTTTGTGGTATTTTGTCTTCTCTGCCCAGCTGAGGAGGGCAGGGATAGAGCAGCTTTGGTGGGCACCTGGAGTCCAGCCAGGGTCAACCCACCACAGGCCATCAAAAACAGCACTAGGCTTGTTATGTAATTCAGACTAATACCTGAACAACTGAAATAGTTACATAAAATACTCTAAATGAAATACAAAGTCTTTTATTTCACCTGAGGGAGCAGCAGATGTGGTTCTTTCACTGCTTGGACCCAGTAGTTTCACATGGCTGGCAGGGAACCATCCTTTCTGTCTCTTTTTCCCTCTTGCCTGCAAACGTTTACAATGGTTATTACACAACTGAAAAACCAAATAGTCTATAGACTGGAAAAATGCAACAAATAGAACACACACAAAAGACAAGTCAGGCTTTCAAACACCTACTAAATACTAAACAGATTTCAAAAGGAAAAAATCTGGCTAAAGGATAAAACAACCCAGTTGGAAAAAAGCTGCACCCCAATATGTTCTGGCAAACATGTTTATCCAAAATTTTCAAGTGCAGATTTCAGAGTACAACTCAATTGTAGGGCCGAAAATTTGTTCTATGAATATTCTACTTATGCATCAGGAGTCTCTAACGAGGTTAGGGGTACTGTTACATGACACTTTTCTTAAATCTAGGTGGAGAAAAGAGAAAAGTGGGAACAGCCACCTTTGCAATAAATGAGTTTCCAACTCCAACTTCCAAGAATGTCTTGTCTTTCATTAGAATAATTTTACAGTTCAGGGTTTCACCAATTAAATCCTAAACAATTTATTGACTGCCAACTTCCCTCTCTCCCCTCCCATGGCTATATTCAGTGACAGTTTTACTGTTTTCTGTGACCAAAAAACCCACCCCAAACCAAACAGAAAACCCCCAGCAACCTAAGGTTTAAAAGAACCTTTTTCCCCCTCCCTTGGTGAATCCAAGATGAAAATAACTTTCTGGCCAGCTTTTATACAACTTTATACTTAGTTGTTTTTTCGAATTAAACCCAAGTGCACCTCATTGCCATTCATGAAGTCACAATTATTTCTCCTTGAATAACTACCTGCAACTCTCCTTGCCACCATCCACTGGCATTTTTCTTCAGGATAAGTATTAGCTGTCCTGGAGCAAGACTGAGCTGTTCAGTCCCTGATGCAACGTAGGCAGTAGTAACCTGAGCAATTTCTGAAAAGAAAACATACTAATTGCATCTGTTATTTTTTCACTGCAGCAAGAGCTACATCCACAGTAATATCCCAGTACCTAATGTGCAGCTAAGAACATGAGCCACACTGATATGAACCAAAATGCTCAGTCACTTAAGAAACAGTCTTAAATGTTAAAATGTTATCACTTACCGGGTTTCTTATTTATTGTTCCAGTTTTGCCAGCATAACCAGAAGCCTACAAAGACACAAAACCCACCTTTTAATGTGCAGTAAAAAAGTAGAGTTTATTCTACAAGCACGTGGAAATTTTAATTTTGAGCCCGCATTTAAGAAAACACCATGCTGTATAGACAAAGGCAGTGTGACACTGGCTACAGCACTCATTTAGCACTCAAGATATCAAGGATTTTCTTTTCTGTCAAGCATATTAGCCTCTGCTTAAAATCACTACCTAAGAGCCAGGTGTCAATAGAATAAAACTGAGAGAAAATACCGTGTGTTAATTCTCAGAACACGAACTCACTTCTGGATCCTTTGGTCTGACATAATTGGAGGGGAAGATTCCAGTTCTGCTATCAATGCTCCCGGTCCACCATTCCCCTTCCTTCTGGGTCACTAGGATTTCCTCACCTTCCGTGAAAGTCAAGTCACCAGGCTCAGAGCTTGAATATGAATAAAGGGCAACGTACTCTGTGCAAACAGCACACAAAGGAGGGGACAACAGTTTCAGATGGGGGATAAAAGTACATCAGGTGCAAATACAGGGATATCAGCATTCACCAGCATGTTCATAACATGGATCATATCTTCACAAGCCTGTGAACTGACTTATCTACCTGCTTGACTGCAATCCCATCTCACCTCATGCTCACAATTCTTACAGGCAGCACAACTTTGTAATGAAAAACCACAGGTGCAACTAAAATATAATCAGGAAGCATGGACATACACTAGATTATAAGGTTAAGAAAGTGCTTCCCAAACAATTTTTCTGCAGTAATATTCGTTTTCCCCACTTCTTGCTGATTATAAGAGAATGATTCACACTCAGAAGAGTAAAAATCCATTCTGATGTCTCTGTAGTACAACAATAACACAGCAGAGAACAGCGGGAAGAGAACTTAGCTTATGGTTGTGAGATACATATAAGTTTTCAGAAATATATTAGTGCTCGAGCAAAAGTCTTAAAAACAAAACCAAAACCCAGGCCTGTGCTCAAACTGAATTAGTCACAATTTTAAAAGTCTCATATCAGTTCCTATTTTGTGAGTCTTGTATCAGCAGCTCAATATTTGCACTGTGTCTTTTGGACAAGCACCAAAATGGCTGCACAGCAATTCCTCTCAAATTAAAGTATATCCACATGCCATTAAGCAGGAACAGACTGTAGCATTAGTTGGCATGTTTCATGCTGTCTTACCCTCTCCTGCTGTGTAACACTGTGTATTAGGCCTTTTGTTTACAGCTGCATAAATAGCTTCTGGTCTGCAGAGAGAAAAAAGAAAAGGTTTGTGTAACTAAGAGGCTGATCAAGAACAAATCTCTCAATTAGGATGAGACCAAGCTCACTTTGGTGATCTCAGAGCTGGTATTGACTCTGAATTAACTGCAAAGATTTCCCTGACTGTCAAACAGTGACAAGTATTACTGATATTTAGTATATTAAGGACACCCAAGAGCACACCATTTAAAAAAAAAAAAGTCACGTGATGAAAGACAAGAAGACAAACTCACAAATTATGTTATCTAAAAGAAGTAAATTAAAGATTTTGATTAAATTCTCTTTTTCTAAAGAATTTATAAGAACTTTTATCATAAAATGCATGAAAAGAATAATTCACAAACATGGTGAAGCCATCCCAGCAGTAACCAGACTTTGGATTGTTACCTGAACACTTCTCCTGCAGCACTGGACTAGACATAATGATCTTTTCAAGTAAGGAAAAACACACCACTTCTACCAGATGTGCCTCAGAGCTTTCAGTTAGTTGTAGGTCACTTAAAAATTGGGACCTTCAGAGGCAGAATGCAACTGCACTGCAAGAGAGCTGACTTGGTAATGAACAAGAAGTCTGGCACTTGATGAATAATCAAACACCACTGATTTTTCACAGCACTCAGCCTAGTGAGACTGTCTATTTACACAGCAGTGAGCCCAACATTACTTGGCTTGCCAGAATGAAATAATAAAAGCCTAAAACAACACGGTGTAAATTGTAAATGGTATTTATATTCTGCACACTAAAGCACTGCAAGAATTCTGCACTCTAAACCACCTCTTTTTGTTAACTGCTGAATAAAACAACAAAAGAAGTCACACTTACTCCTCTTTCTTGATTTCACTCCCAGGTAAGAGCTTGACATACGACTTTGGAAACCAACCCCTTCCTCCATGTACCTCTCCGAACCACCAGTTCTCCTGCTGCTCCAGGACAGTAATGATATCATTCTTTGAAAAATTCAAGTGGTTATCTTTTTTTGCAGTCCAAGAGCAAAGTGCTTGTGCTTTTAGGTTCTCGACAGGCTGCCCCTGTAAGACAGAAGTGGAGATGTTCATTGACCACACTACCCCAGTCTGGTGCAAATGTTAAAACCAAACAAACACTGATGTATCTTTTATTGAAGCTTAAGCAACTCCATTCCTAAGTGATGGTTGAGTAGATTTTTTTTGCATTGATGTTTGCATGCAACTCAGTTTCTTACTTATTAGAAATACCTCCTGCATCTAACTATAAGTGAGAATTATTTCAGAATTACAAAACATGAGCCTTCTTGTTCAATAGTCCCTGGAAACATGGAATTATATCAATGCACACTAATGGAGCATTAAAAAGCTTCTTCATCCTCTAGCCTGTTCAGTGCACCCAGCTTTAGCAAAGTTGTGTGTTGTTTTGGTTTCTCTTAAATCATTTTAATGAACATGAATCTAAAACACAGCAAGTTCCCCACTCTCACACAATGTACCTGCCCATGAACGGGTGAAACAGATCCAGGGGACACAGTGCGAGTAAAAGCTGATTTCTGTTGCCAGGCTGTGTTAACATTCAGGCTAGAAAAGGGGATGTTTTGGTAATCAGATTCTTCTGCAGATTTACTTGGTGAAAGTGGTCTGCAAATGGAACACAGGCATATTTATCAAATTACAATTTTTATTTCGTAAGTGCCTCAAGCAGAGTATTTTTTTAATATATATAAAACAGATATTCTATACAATGGGAAACAGACTATCCAATACCTAAAAGTCTTAGCTTGGAAACTTTAAGGATGTTCTTCAATATGTTTTATGCCTTTATATTTTAAAAACAAACACCAAGTGAAACTATACAGCACACTATGTACTAGCCAAATTTAGAAAAAGCAATTTCAACACAAGCATAACAAAAACTCACTCTGAAGCAGCTGAGGTAGTAGATAAAGATACTGTAGGAGGAAGTAAGGCTTTCTTAGGAGATAAAGCTTTTTCTCCTTCTGGTATTTTTTCTACATAATTGCATGGAAACCAACCAAAATGTCCTTGAAAACTCCCATAAAGCCAACCAGGCTCTCCCACAGTTTTTTCATCAACCTATGGACAGGGGGATAAATAAAAAGGAAACAGAATTAGCAGTATGAATCAAATGGGGTACATGGTGTGTCAGCACCTGCTGGCACTGAACTAAGCAGTGCTCACACAAGGATCAGCATTTTCATTCTCCCCTTTCAGAACTGAGCTGATTTTGCCCTGTTCACAAAACAGGGTAATGATGCAGCCACACTGGTTTCAGATACAGGTAGAGACAGGCCTCAAAGACATTATATTCCTCCAAACAGGTCCCAGACATGCACATGGGGGATCTTGTAGTGTATCTGGAGCCACTCTGGCTTGCCAAAAATTATAGTGCATTGTGTCGTGTTTTGCTGAATGTGCAGCCCACAGGCAGTGGCTGGAGAGCCCAGCAGAGCAGGGAAACAACCATTCTGCTTACAGATATAATTAACTGTGCCAGCTGACTGCAACCAAAACACATCCAAAAGTGCTGCTGTTTACTGTATGATTAAGTATAGAGCATCCTTAAACATTCACAGCAATACTGAAGCTTCTATTATGCTGCAAAATAGCCAGTTAGTGAAAACTGGCTAAAAATTAGCAGCTCAAAATACTATCAGCTTGTTAGCTTAGCTGAGGTTTGGGGTGTAAGAGGAGGAGGAGGAGGTGGCAGCTGTTAGCCCATTTCTGAAATCAGGCACCAGTAGTTAAATGATACAATTATAGCTGAGAAGGAAGTCAAAACAAAACCTTCTTCTCTTGTTCCTTCTTCCAGGCTTCGATGGTATGAAAATGCAAATAAATGGTTTAACATTGTTAAACTGAAGCTTAATAGTCAAATAGTGTTTTAATATTTTGTACCACACTGCTTTGTAATTCTCCCTTATCACCTACCTATATCACTTATAGTCTGACTGAGGAGGAACCATAAGTACTTATACATTAGATATAAATATTAATTGTATTACCACAGCTGTAGATCAGTTTTCACAAGTTCACCTGAAGGCACAGGCTTTCAAGACAATGTATGCTGCCAAGTGATAGAATTACAAGAAATAACAGATTTCAACTGAGATGCCATAAGGCATTTTCAGTCTTACAGTCCTGCTGTAATATTATATATAGCAAATTCATCTGAACGCAGGAAAGTGCTACAAAGAAGGGACGCTGAATAAATTACTATAGGTATCTGTCTGAGGAAGGATTTATAAAGGACAGTCAGCAAGAGAATCATAGAATCATAATGGTTTGGGTTGGGAGAGACCTTAAAGATCATCTGTTTCCAACCTGTCTGCCAAGGGCAGGGACACCCTCCACTGGACCTGTTTGCTTAGAGAGGCAGAAATCTATGTTAAGAATATACTGGAAAACAGTATTAAAATTCAGAAGAGCCTTTAACATCTACTTGTTAAATAACTAGTTTGATTTTAATTCAAATGCCATTAATTAATAATTCATGTCTCTGTTTACTGTGCTCATATTTCAAGCAGACACAAGCCAACTTGTACATGTACAATGAACTGCAACAACTACATCATTTCGAGTCTACTAATTTTAGAAAGTTTAAGTTTAGCATTCACTATGGTTATTTTTAAAGACATTCTCAGCATCTTTAGGATTTGTAAGATTCAAAGAAATATTCTGGTTGAACTAATCCTAATTTCATCTATTTAAAAAAAAAAAGTAGCAATCAAACTTAAATTTCAAGTAAACGTTAAAATATATCAACGCAATGCTTTTGACCCTTATGACCTTGTGTATCTCAAGGTCATTTTTGCAATTTAAATGTGAATGGCAAATCTTACCTGAATTACATCCCCAGTATTAAAGCTCATCTCATCGTGGTTCCTTGCTTCAAATGGATACAACGCTCTGTAATTTACCAAGGCAACAGAATTCCTGGACTCTGCAACAGTAACTGCATTGCCTGGAAGGATAAGAAAACCAGTTACCATTTTGATACAGCTGAAAGACAAGCACTTAGTTGGAGTCCCATCATTTATCTTCTCATCTTTCCTTGCCACTCTGCTCTGTGGCTGCCACTGGCTAAGCCAGTGCTTTAATAGAGTCTCATTTAATACCATCATAATTTTCCAAGTTGAAAAGATACCACTGTTGCACCAATAAGTGTTCATCAGCATGTCTGAAGATTTTATTTAGAAACCCAAAATAGCAAAATATCACGGTTTATATTTTCTTTGCACTTCTGTTCTGCAGTGAGTTACTAACAGTGAATGTTTTACAAGGTATAGCTGAGGTATGCAAATATTTTTCAGCCCTGTTCTAATTTGGTTTTTGCTGAACTCAGTGATAAAAGTGGCTAACAAAAATTGGCAAGGACTTGTGAAGGATGAAACTAATCAAAAGTGTCTTTAGTTCAAATATTATTAAACCACTATTTTTCCAAGTCCCACAGGTAGTTAGGTCTAGTCATTCAGTTCTTTGTTTTTTTTTTAATATGAGGCATTGAGTAATGCAGAAGTAAACTAGATTTCACTATTAATAAATCACTTTGCTGAGTGTTACCTGCCCATCTCTCATCACTGAACAAAAAACTCCATATTACCATTCTTTTTTAATGAAAGAAGGTGTAAGCCTTAAGAAAAAGCCAAAAATATTACTCTTTCTAGTATCTAGTATCTGTGGTTTGTTGACCACAGTCACTGGAAGATTTGTCATCAGTCATAGGTCCTGAAAACTGATAAAAGTAACCTAAGTTAATAGGATGTTTTATAACTAACTATAGATGCGAAACATCGGTGGTTTGGGTTTTTTAAATTATATCTTAGACAATATCTAAGCCTGCCATGACGTCACATTAACAATAACACATATGAAGAATGAAATAACACTCAGAAAAATAAAACCCATTAAAGCAAAAATGTAACAGACTAAGATTACCTTCATTTTTCCAGGGTGGCTTAAGACTTTTACCCTCTGTTGGTTTCAAAAGATCTGCAAACTTTTCATTTATGTTTATTTTAGAAGTGTGTTTCTCCATCTCTTGAGAGTTGGTTGCTTCTTTTATCTTTTTCATTTCTTCGTTCTGCTTACGCCTCTCCTCAGCTTCTTTTGCTTTTTGTTCTTGCTTTCTTTTATCTTCTTCCAGTTGCCTCTGCCTTTGTTGTTCTGCCTCCCTCAGGACTGTGGCTTGTCTACTTTTCTCCTCCTCTGCAAGAAGCTGCTGTTTGTTTTCCCTTTCTCTCATCTGAGCAAGTGCTTCTTCAGCTTTCAGCTTTTCTTGGACTTTTTCCTGCATCCGTTCTTCCTCCAGTCGCTTCTTTTTCTCTTCCTCTTCCCTTCGAATATTTTCCTGCCATCGGTTCTCCTTATCCCGTTTTGCTTTCCTGAAAGGAAGCAATGAGACAGGTAAGAGAACATTCATATAAAAATGAATGAGATTGTGTTCCTAATTGATGGCACTTGTCAGCAAAGCTCAGTCTTGATCATTCTGCTCTCCGGGCAATCAGCTCTTCCACAGGAGACTGTGCTTGGTCTTAACATGAGTGCCAGTATATTCCACATAAAAACAACAAATGGATTAAAATTCTTGGTACAGAATGTAGTTCTGTGTTGCCATGGGGTTACTTCTGCAGTGCCTTCACGAGCACTTCTGCCCATCTGCATCCTGATGAGCAAGAATTGATCTGTTAATTGAACCAAGCTGGATTTAGGCTTCCCACCAACATCCTATCCAAATTCCTGATGGGAAACAATCATTTCAAAACAGATTAATTTCATGCAGGTACATACATAGAAATAGCCTTTGAATACTGATCTTTGCTGCTGGAAGTATTTGTCTTCAGCAGTTGCAATAGCCTAATTCCTGCCATGACCACTCTTCAGCAGAGAGGAATCTGAAAATCTGACTGTATTTCTGTAATTATTTAGCTGCTATCCTGTGCCCCAGCTGTCTAAAGAAGTTATTATCCAATTCAACATGATTAAAAATCATTGGAATGTAGCTGTCATTTCTTCAGAAAAGAAAGGATCTAACCCTTTGGGCCACCTTCTGTGGAGGTTGTTGAGGAGGGACCATGTCTAGATGAGACTATTTCATCAACTCACTGTGGGAGATCCACTTCCCTGATGGGTATTTTACTGTGCATCCAAGCACATGGCAGGATCTAGTAGAAGCTGTGCAGTGATGTTGTTACCCTATCACATAGCTGTGTTCAACCAAAAAATTAACACAAAATAGGTAGCTGACAGCAGAAGGTCCAGAGAGAGGGGAAAAAATTGAGTGGCATCTTAAGACAGACAGAACCAAACCCTAAAAACTAGTTTCTTAATCAGTCAAACAAAATAAAACAAAACTAGTCTGGAGCAAGACCATGAGAAATTAAAAGCTGAGAACAGTAAGATTTTGAGTGCTTGATACAAGATTGGGCGGAGCAAAACCAGGACACGTGTAAGTGAAGGGATGATCCTCTCAAACAGAACTGAATTTTCTCACTGTCCTCCCTCCTATAAAAGGAACCAAATTTAAAATTTATAGGTTGCTCACTCATCCAGCTTTCCAGACTAGCATAGGAATTAAGCAGTCAATGCCCTTCCTTAAGGAAGTATCAATCTCACAACTGCTGGGATATATGTGACAAAAACCTGGCAACTGCTCAGTCAGAAGTGCTTTTAAAGAAAAGTCAGATGTTTGGAGGCCACTAAAACAAGACAGAATATATGAGGAATTTTAAATGTCTGAAGATTATCTATTAAAGGTACTAAAAATCCTAATAGCTAAAGTGACTACTTGGTTTATTTATACATCAAAGCTGAATTACAAAGTTTGCTTTTATCTTCATTTCTAAACAGATTGAAAAGAGGAAATTCAAACCATCTTACACCAGTGGTAGTCCACATAAAATGTTTCCTCTAGGCAACCAACAGGATGTATTTTTACATTCAAATACATATATATATGTACACACATATCTTAAAAGTCACTACAGCGTTATTTTGCTTTAAAAACTGCAATGCTGATACATTCAGCCATGGTACCTTGCAGCCTCATCTTCCAGTCTCTTCTGCTGTACAAGTTCAGTTCTTCTTTTTTCTATCTCCCTTATTTTGTCCTGTTTGATCCTGTGGAGCTGCTCCAAGGCTAATTGCTGTGTGCTGTAACTTTCTCTCAGGTCCTATGGAGGAAACACAATGAAGTACATCAAAGGGAACAAAGCCAATCTTTGAGAAAAGCAATCCAGGCATTTTAATGCTTTTTGAACCAAGTTTTAATACAAATGGCCAAAGCAGTATTAAGTTATTAACAGTCCTTGGAGGTCACTGTAAAGAAAATCAAATCAACAGAAGGATAAAGGGAGATGGCAAGTTTGCAAAGTCAGTGACGTATTTTAGGCTTTCAAAGAGCCCTTCCAGTCATACACCTGCTGGAAATGCCAAATATAACAGAGTGGAAGACACAAAACTGAGTGTTCAAACACAACATTATCTAAGGGCAGAGAAGGTAGTGAAGCATATTTTAAATAACTACAAGGAGGCAGATTTCAGCTGAAAGCCAACACAGTACCATAATGTTGAGAACACATCCCTGCAGTGGGGGGCTTGCCTTTGTGATGCTTTCTGAATGATCAGTCCCATATTTAAATCAGAAAAACTTTAAAAAACTACACAGCAGGCTTACCACTGTGGGAAACCATAGCTTAAAGACACTAACTCTGACTGGAGTTCTGTATTTGTAAACTTCACAATTTTAGTTTTTTTCTTTTGAGTACATCCTTCAAATTCTATTCCACCTCCCTCTGAAAACAACCATTTTTCAGAGCAAAACATCAGCATGAATCCTTGGAATAATTAAATTTACAGAAGAAAAAAAAAATCAACAATAATAGAATTACTTTAGATTGCACTTCACCATGTTACAAAACATCTGTAAGATAGAGTGGTTTTCTTAAAAATCCTATTGATACACATTGAGCAATGCAACAGGATCGATCTCATAAATACAACAAAGCAATTAAGAATGATCCATTCCCACTACAATGTGCAACTCTATCAATAATCATGTTGCCTAAGAGATACTGTGCAATTTACATGACAAAGGCAAGATAACAAGATTGCTGTGTCAGTGAAAGTCTCTGTAGCAACAAACTAAATCAAGCAATTGACTGCAATTTCCTCCCAAACATATTCAGCTGAGAATACTTTTTCTTCTCATTTTGTATAAAAATTCAGGGTTGCTTCAGAAGCAAACTTGTATTATAAAAACTCTCATATCTTTGATTTAAGGACAGAAAAACCCTTATGCAAAATGAAAAGCTCAGTAAAGTAATTCTGACTTTTTTTTCCACTCATAAATTATTCTCAAAGTCAGATTTCTGACCCCAGCAGACAACAGCAGTTTTGAAGAAAGACAGCAAGTAGGGTTTTAGTACTGGGTTAATCTGGAGGTTTAACAACATTGTGTTTGCCATGTCATATGTCATAATCTGCATACTGATCCTATTTTTATACTTTTAAACTTGGATAAGAATCCTCACAGCTTCAGATGCATGGATATATGGAGACAACAAGAGATGAAAAAGTGGGAGAGGACACTGTTTTCATCTGAGACAATATTTTTTTGTTTCACATTACCTTAACTAAGAAGAAAAATACCTGGGTAAAACAATTTAGTGGACAGTTTATTAAGAAATAAAAAGTCAATATTTTGCTATCAGTATTTTGCAGTTTGGATTTCTAAGCAGGTAAGAAAATGTTAAGTCTTTAAGAGGATGTAAAAGCTAGCAGAAAGAAAAACAGCCTATCAATTGTCTATTAGGAAAATGTATTTAATAGAAGTTGTACAACTAAACAGAAAGGGTAAGCAGAGAAAAATTGCGAAATAATTAAAAAACCAAAAAAGCCAAAGATTAGAAAATAACCTTAAGTAAGAGGAAGAGGTTGTTGAGACAGCTTAGCAGAGACAAAAGGCACTGAAGAACAGAATCATCCATATTCTCACACTGTAAGATAAGGTAGATAAAAAGCCAATTAATCTTTGCACTGTATTTTGAAAAACATATTTGAGGGAAGACTGAATTGTGGATGCAGCCACTGAACACAGCAAGCCATGCAATAAACAAGTAACTAAAAAAGCATGTTGTATGAAGCCATTTCTAAAAAGAAAAGAAATTCCTTAAATGTTTACAAATTTTTGTGTGTTTTTTTTTTTTTTTAACTGGGAGAGTGCAGAGCTCTCACTCTGATCCATCATTAATCCATTACTTAAGGAAAAAGTTCCCATCAGTGCCACTAGGAGTAAGCTGGCAAATAAAGTTAAGTGGATGCTACCCTGTGAGAGGTGCCTGAGGTTTTAGACAAGGCAAGAGTGGCCTCTGAAACAAAAACACCTTCAAGGACAGTGGTCAATAATTCATAACTTCTACACAAATAGGTGGCCTAGGCCTTAGGATAATACCTAAGGATTAGGTGATCTTTGGATAATACCTAAATCTGCCACCAGATTTTGTACAGTGTACTACGAAAACATGTGCTTCTTTTAATAAAAGTTAAATGTTCAGTGCACAATTCAAAAATAATAGCCAATATGACCTCATAATGTAAGAACAGAATTTGCAAGGGTCTGAAAAACTTTAATTCTAAATCAAAAAGAATTCTAGAAGGCAAAAGGTGAGAGTGAGCAACAGCTGAGTCATGCAAAGCAATGATTAGCAAGAGATTCATATTTTAGTACGTTAGCAATAGATTTAAGTGCATTTTTATTGTATTATTTACTCCAAGACTTTTGCTAACTCTTATTTGACACTGGAAGTTGGGGAAAGCTTTTTGGAAGCCTGGTAGAAGTGGCATCAATCTTTATGACCGGATGAAGAAATAAAATATAGTGCTTACAGGTGTAAGATATTTAGGTAATGCACGTACCTTAAGCTGACTGTTAAATTCATCCATTTCAGCAAGTTTAGAAGCAGTTTCCTTCTCAAGGGCATCTAATTGTTCCTTAAGTCTTTGGCATAATTCTTCCTTTTCTACGGACTTCTTGGTCACTGAACTGACTCCTGTACCTGCATAAGGAAAGACAAGCAATTTTACAAGAATTTCTGTTTTCACTAACTATTTTATTATTTTCCTAATATAAACACATTCCTAACCTCTTTCCTCAAAAAAATTCCTTGATTCACCTTTCTATTCATATACAGCTTGAAGAAGAAATGGCCCCAACACTGAACTGAGACATACAGGCATTACATGGAATATATACAGAATAATTTGCAATTTGGGTGTGGTTTTTTTTAATATCAGACCAATTCATAGCAAACTTCTCTAGACAGTGACTTCCAGTGTGGTTTGATGTAAAGACCAATGTAAACTTTACATGAATTAATTCCCTTGAGTCTACACTACCAAAAAACAGACGAATTTTAATACTATGGGCCACATAGCCTGTATACGTAGATTTTCAAGACAAAGTTTCAAGCAAAATCTCTGCTTTCTTGCAAAAATGTGTTTGTTTACCCCTTATCTAGAACATGAGGGGAAAAATGGAATGTAGATGAAACAATGGCTTTAACTGAAAAGATATAGAAGTGAAGGTGTTGTTAACACGTTTGTATCCTTCAGACTTGTTTACAAGAGATGAAAAGTCAGCAGTGCAAACAGAAGAGAATTCACTTGCAAGCACTTACTCTGAGTGTTTTCAAGTTGAGCATTTTTTATCCTTTCATTTAACAACTGCTTTTCAGGAACCAAATAAATCAGTTTATTCTGATAATCCTGTAGATATTGAAGGGAACATGACAAATTTTTAATATTGTTTATAAATCAGCAAGTAAAAATGAGTGAAATTTCAAACATAACTTCAACTCATATTAATGAAACATGGATGCAAGTTACCATTATGGGGTAAAGGAAAATATGACCTCTATACTCTTAATAGAAATAGTATTAAAATTGAAAGCTTTTGACCCGAAAGCATTAACACAGCTGGAAGAAATTTTAACAGACATGTTAAAAGTGTAAATATTATCATGAGACCATTTAAGTTGACTGCCCTAAGCTTAACATAAAACAGTAACAAAAAGAAAAGATGTTTCTCTGACGTGCAAAAGCATTAATAAAAATACAGTACAGGATGATTCATGGTAGTCAACTGATTTGAAATAATTTACGTCTTGTTATTCAAAGAGAGGGAAAAAAAAAAAAGAGCAGCAAGGTAATTTAGCCTAAAGAATAACTTGTCCTGGATACAGGACAACACTCCTCATAAAAATTTGAGTCTGGAGCCATAAAAGAACTCATAACTGAAGAGAAGTCCCTTTAATCAGTTCACAAAAGACCAGCTGCGGTTTTGACAACTGTTCTCATTTAACTATCAGCTCACTGTACTATATATAATAATTTCTTTAACACCACACATAAGCTAAAAACCTCTACCATGCTGACAGCCTTGCCTATTTCCTCTCTCCACTATAATCCAACTGATTCCCTATTCCTCCCTATGGGGAAGCATTATCCAGCATTATGGAAACAGAATACAGTAAAGGAAAATTACAAGCTTAACAGAAAGTTACATACCTCAAGCTGTTGTTGTAGTTGCTTGACTTCCATGATTCCTTGGTCATATTTCCTGTCTAAAGCCTCCAGTTCAGTTTTTCTAGCTTGCTTTTTGCTACGAATATCTTGCAGTCTGCCTGAGATTTGCTTATGTTTGTCGGTCTAGAAAGAAATCAAAGACAGATTATACTACATATGGAAAAAGTCACTTCACTAAATCTGTGGGCAGATCAGTTCACAATCAGTTCTTTAAAACAACCCAAAATACCTGCTTTAGATTCCTCATCCAGAACAGAGTGAAACTCCTAGTGGGCCATTAATGCAGACATTAAGATTTGCATAGTTTAAAATACCATATTTCAACACGTGTAGTGAAATTCCTGTCTTACCAGAGCTTCTAATTCAAGATTGAGGCTCTTCTTTTTAGAGGTCAACTTGACAATTTCTTCTTGTTCCCTGTTACGTTGATTAAGAAGTTCTTGGCGACGAATTCTCTCCCATTCCAGTCGTCGCTGGCGCTCAAGTTCTTGCTTTGCTGCCTGTACAAAAGTTACATTACCTTAAATTACAACAGAGATGCAGAACTCAGAGACCATAATTTAATGTAATGTGCTCTATTTCTGAACAGCATAACAGCAACACAACATAATGTCTTCTGTAAAGTGCTTTTATATACTTCAGCATCAAAGAAGGCAGGAAGTGATCCTGTAAGATTCTTCATGTCATGCTCCCAAGCCTGGATGAAGAAAAGCTACATAATTCTAATTGCAGCTATGGAATACTGCCCAAAAAATAGCACATTGACAGATACTGCTAGAAATCTCCTCTGTAGTTCTATTTCACAGAACTACATAAAACAGACAAGTCTGATGCATGTGCTGAGACACCAAGTAGTAGCAAATTTGTCTCAAGTTCAGCTGTCAAAATGTTATCAATTATGAATTCAGTACAATCTCGCTTGGAATACAAATTTTTGCAAAAATCCAAGAAAATCTCATCTGTCCTATGAAGTATCTGAAAATCTTTAACCCATGCCAAACACTCGATTCATCTCTAACATCTCTAATGTTTTCAGGCACAAATGACATTCTTTCTCCAAGACCATCTGCCAGTGGCCATGCGAGGGGACAGAACCAAAGTCAGCGTTCAAATCCTGAATGCTCTGCCAAGTGGATACTGTATGACTGTACACATTCCTGAGAGCAATAAAAAATAATTTCAAGAAAACAACCTCCCGCCTTTCTATTTCTTTCCTCCTTTCTTCTTCCCTTTGTCTTTCCAGCTCTCGTTGTCTCTCCAGCTGCCTTTCCATTTCGAGTTGTCTTTTCCGTTCCTGTTCCTGACGTTCCCTCTCCCTTCGCTCTTGTTCTTCTCTCTCTTTCTGAGCCTTGCGTTCAGCCTCTCTCTGTTGCTGCTCCAGCAGGACCTGGCGGCGTTTTTCCAGCTCCATATTTCCCCTCTCATAGTTGGCTTTCCTTTTGTCCTCAAATGTCACTAAAATAAGGAAAGGTTGTTATTTCTGTTCTGTGCAAAACACTGCTCTCAAACAAACACCTCACTTATGCCACTAAAGATAGATACTTTTTGGCAAGCTCTGGTTGTTCAGTCATGGATGATGTAAGCATCTTGCACTTGTTAAACTATTATTTTTCTGTTCAAAAATACCTCTAAATTTTCCTAATTCTATTCCAATTGAAACAAAAAAAAAAAAAAGAAAAAAAGGAAAAAAAAGAGTTGCAGTTTACAAATGACCACAAAAATGACTTGAATGTTAGAGGAAAGCCTCTAGAGTCTAAAAAATGAAAGAGGAAAGAATGTTACAGGAAAACATAAAAGAACAGCTTTTATAAGCTGGGAGAAGACTGTCTGCTGTTAAAAAGGTTTTCCAAGGTACAAGAAACATTAAAACACAGACAAAGGGCTTAGTTTTAAAGGGTGTTCCCTGCAAGTCCTCCTGGAGTTAAAACCATCAGAAACCAAGACAGGATCAAGCTCAATTACTGCACACAAGAATAAAAAGAGATACAAAGCAATGGTTTAGGCCCCCAGCAACCACCCTGCCAGAAAGAGAGGCAAGTCCTGTCTCGCAGTATGCATGTAAGAGACCTGTGCAAGTAGCAGGAGAGAGTCAACAGCAGAATCTGTGTTTGTGCAAATTGCATCCAGTTTTCAGAGAATTAAATTACATTGGAACCCCCTGCTTTCAGAATGTCCAGAACAAAGTAATGCCAGGGAGTTTCAACCAAAAAAAATTTGCAGTAGCATCATGGTATTTGGCTGTGAAGGATTTATTTTCCAAAATACATTATTAATCAGCACAATTTTCCTTTCCTACAGCTAAAAATAGCCCTTGTTTCTGCCTGCTCAATTCTATTAGATGTAACAGGCTGACTACATCTACTTAACAACCTTCCTATCATCCAAGTTAAAAGGGATTTAGCTCCTGAAACGAAGCTCTCTACAGATTTGATTGTGTCTTCCACTTTCTACAGGTTTCAGTGCCTTTCAGAAACTGTACATTAAGGATGTGAACCCTTTTCTACCTGGCTGTTTTTTCTGTGGCTCCTCCTCTTGCACAGGCTGGTAAGGTGGCAGAGTTCCATTTATATTTTCAGTATATTTTCCACTCCTGGAGGGGAAAAATCCCAAACCACCATTGTTAGAGAAACAGCACAGTTACGTTCGGTGCATTACGTTTCCCTGCCCTCAGTGACTACCTGAAGGAAGGTGGTACCAGTTCGAGAGGCAGAGTCAGTGGCAGTGGTTGCCCAGCTTTGGCCATGTCTGTGAGGTGCATGGCCAGAACAAACTCATCAGCCTTCAGCTGCCCATCTCCATCAATATCAGCCAGTGACCTGCAGGGTTTTAACAGAATACCAATTAAGAACAAACAGCACAATCCCTCACAAGTGACAGCTGAAACTGTTTACTGTAATTTTTAAAATAGAGAATTCCTGTGAAATGTTCTGGTAAAAATACTATTAATAACACGAATAATTGATGAAGGGAATAACATTTTGTTAATAATGTACTGTTATCCAGATCATAGAATCCCAGAGTGGTTTGGGTTGGAAGGGACCCTAAAGATCATTCAGTTCCAACTCCCTGCCATGGACACCTTCCCCTAGACCAGGTTGCTAAGAGCCCCATCCAGCCTGACCTTGAACACTTCCAGGGATGAGGCAGCCACAGCTTCTCTGGGCAACCTGTGGCAGTGTCTCACCACCCTCACAGTAAGGAATTTCTTCCTAATATCCAATCTGAACCTGGCCTCTTTCAGTTTGAAGCCATACCCCCTTGTCCCTTCACTGCAGGCCCTTGCAAATAGTCTCTCTCCATATTTCTTGTAGGCTCCCTTCAGGTACTGGAAAGCTGCAATTAAGTCAGCCTGAAGCTTTCTCTTTTCCAGGCTAAACAATCCCAATTCTCTTATTAAGTTTCTCAAAAATACTGCAAAAAGGATAGGAAAGGGTGAAAGATATCTCTTGATTTATTGCATCACCAATAGAAGAACTGGGAAGAGAATCCAGGACTGTTCTTAACCAGCTCAAAATGCTAGAAAACACTTTTTCAACTGTTTTTTTAAAGCAAAAGAAAACATTATATAAAATTACATCAAATTGTACAATAGGAACTTTTGCATAGAATTCTTTTTCCCCTTTGTGTCTCCTTGACAGTGTAGGGAAGACATGAGCTGCCCCAGAGTACCTTTCATTGGGTAGGAAAAAGACCACCTACACCCTCTAAGGAGAAGGTGACTGTATAATCAGCTTACAAAATGTTTCCCATGCAACTGGGGGGTGGTGGTATGTGTGTGGGAAACCAATGAACGGCTGTTGATCCTCTCTACATGGGCACACAGACCACCTTGCACTGGATACACACCCAGGAGAAAAACAGACCCTACACACCTGCTTTATTCCCCCACACTCCAGAGCTGACCTATACAATCCATACTCCCTGTTTACCCTTGCAGCATGTAACCAAACAAGCTGAACAAATAAAAAGAACATTTCAGCTTGCTGCTGCTAAAGACAAATGACTGTCTTGGGATACAGGAAGAAAGGAAGCTGAAGAGGAGATGTAAGGCACCAAGCTATTGTGAATTCTGCTGGGCCACTAAATCTTATGTATAATATCTGAGTTATTTCTGAAGGTGTAACCTAAACTACCATGGCTAGCAGGGCAGATTATTAAAAGCCTTCAGACAACTGTAACCACTTCTATCACCACAATAAAGGCAAGTCCTAACAAATGTGTAGTATGCAGGTATCTTTATGGAAACCACAGTAAAACCCAAAAAGGCTGAAGGGTTACTTAATTTTTAATCTTCCTCCATATTTTAAAGCTAACAAGCTAGTTTTCAGAATCCTACATTTGAAATAAATGAACCCTCATTTCTGATGAACTAGTGCAACCCTGAATCAGAAACTGAAATTAGTAACTGTTCTATTATACGGACTTTAACAAACGGAGTGAAAAATTATGTCAAGGTGTCTTTTGGAAATGTAACTAATGAACAAACCAGTTTAAGTAGCAGCTTAGTTTCTGTTTATGATTTTAGATCTGTGGTATTTAATAAAGCACATTTCCTCTATTAACACCATAAACACATTGAATTTCTAATCAGTAACCCAAACTCACCAAATAGTAGCCAGCTGAGTCTGTGAAAGGTTTGATTGCAGAAGGGCATTCCTTGCTTGAAATCCTTAGTGAGAGTGTGAAAGATTTTAACAAAAATAAGCACTTCATTCAAAGATTCACGAGGCAAAAAATGGGTCATGAACTGGGGCATGTTTATTTTTTGTATTAATCTAATCCATTTTCATCAGTTGGTTTTACTTCCAGGCTTAACAACAGGCACTACAACCTGAACACAATGAAGATATAAGTATTCTTGTGTACATTTTTTTCACTCAGAGGACCTAACAGGAAAGCTGACATGAAAAAAGGATATTTATGGTAATCCCCACAGCTGTTACAAAAGCACAGCTGACTGCCTACCTAAACCTTCAGCTAGCACACTGGAAAGCTGTCAGCTTTCTTTGGTAGCAAAGAACCATATACCCTTCTAGGTAGCTTGATGGAACCTTCAGCCCCAAATCAACTGAACAAGCTAAAAAGCATTCTTATATTAACTTCGTGTGAAGTCTTTTGAAACCACCATAATGCTGTGGCACAGCACAGATGTCACTGCAAGTCAAGAAGGAATGACTCCCTTAAATTACTTTGTAAAAATTCCAAATAAAACCCAGGTACCTAAGCAATGACTAACACAGATACATAGGAGCACATGGCACAAAAATGATTGTGAATTTCTCCCATTTTCAAAAGAAACAGTCTCAGTTTGAAAAATGCCTGCCAACTTTACAGAGCTAAATTCCACAGCCTGATGGTTAGTTCTCGGGCTCTTCTACTTTGATCCCAACACTGCCATGTTTCTCCTCTTCCCTGCAACAGCTGCTGTAGCTTCCCCAGTGCATCTGGCTTCTCCAGGTCTAACACAGAGCCCAAGGCAATGAACTGATGGTTATTTCCATTTCTTGGTTGGCTGAAACCCACTCTCTCCTGCACAGGTCTGAATATCAACACTTTCAGCTTTTATTTCATATGCAAGTCAAATCCCAAGCTGGGATTCCATCCCTCACCCTGTAATGTCCCAGAGGCAGAAAACAGTACTTTTTCCCAACCATACCAAATGTCATACTCACCTGATAAATATCCACTCATACTTTTGTCAAGACTGTTAAATTTCTGTCTGTATTTTAATCTGGAGGCCTGAGGAACTGCCCAGTCTGAGGTTGTAATCTTTGGTGAATTCCCAGCTAGTGATGCACTAGAGGAAGAATTTGAACTGCAATATAATTTCAAAACCAAACAAAAAAAACCAAAGCAAAAAAACCAAATGAAACCAACCAATGAAACATTAAAATAAAACCAAAAGAGAAAAAGAGATAAAGAAAGAACTCTAAGTCACTTGGCTTGGTAGGCAGGCTTTGGAATAGAAGATATATAGCATTTTTTGATAATATGAAACAACTTCCACAAAGTTTTACCTCTAATAACTTGCTACAAATATTTTCATCACAAACACGGAATTTTACTGTGAAAGTAAGGACACATATTTATAAGGAAACTCTTGAATTTAAGATCTTGTTCCTTTAGTATCACAGGCACTTATGCCACATAATTCATCATTTTACCACTGCAAATTATAGTATAGGAACCCATAGGAAAACATCTCAACTTTCCTAGGAGTGTTTACAAGGACTGTGAAGCCTTGGGCAGATGTCCAAGTAACTTTAAGAGGTATGTAAATGAAGCATGAGAATAAAAATGCACCTGATAAACTCATAACCAAAAGCAGCTTCTGACGCTGTTTAAACCACCATATTCCACCTCTACCTCTTTTATCACTGACAATGACAGGCTCAATGGAGCTTTTCCAACTCATTCAGTTTCTGCAGAATAGTGCTGATGGAGTGTTCAGATATACCAATGAAACTTCCATCTGCTACCCCCAGCATTCCCAGTGTCCCATCTTTGAAAATGAGACAAACCCAGGGGCACCCAGCCTGCCTTGTTTAAGGTAATCCCCTACCCTGTCAAGTAAAAAACTATTGGAAGTGTTATCCAAGGCGATGGAGAATGGTGATAGAGACAAAGCCTTTCCAGCAGGATGCTGGACAGTCATCCTCTGCAGAGAATTGGACAATATGACGGTGAAAATGCTGTCAACAGTAACACCGAAGAAGAGCTACCTTGCAACACTATAGCATCACCAAAAGAAAGCTTTCTGATTAAAAAAACCACCAAAGAAAACCAGAAAGATTATTCCAGGCACACACCATGCCTACAGTCATCTTACATCTGCTGACGTGAGGAGCCCAAATCCACCCCAAATGCCCTGTGCAGGCAGCAAACGGGTGCAAGAGTCTCTGAGTCACCCTATGGAACTGAGCTGGGGCTGAGATGCTCTCTGGACTGTCTTTTTGGAGACATCCCTGGATGCCCAACTGGATAGATAAGCCTAGTCCCTCACTCTGTCTATGGCAAAGCTCTAAAATTAGTGAACTAGAGCAGCTATTATCAAGATTCATTATCTTCCATTATTCATAAAACAAATTCACACATAAATATTGATAACAAATCCTATTCTTATATGGCTGCTGATTACATGATGCCCTCTATAATGAATGAGCACATCAATGCACTTTTGCTTTTATAACCACTTGGTAATTTTTACTTCTGCTTACTAAAGAGGTACATCTCCTTCTTTTTCCCAAAAGGGTTAGGGTTGGGACAAACCTGTAAGACCATCAAGTCCAATCATCAACCCGGCACCATCACCACATTCACCACTAAATCATGTCCTCAAGTGCCATATCCGTATTTTGGCACCACCTTCTCTCATTTCAAGTCCTCCCCTACTTCAGATAGTTTTTTCTGATTTACTGAAAATATTACTTACTGTGTATATAAAAAAAAATATCTATTTTCAGACTTGGCAGGTCAAATTAGATAAACTAATTTTTAATGACTATATCTTAAAAATAGAAATAATCCCTAAGTTTTGGAAGGTATACTACTTAAGAGCAGGACACAATTTATATACTGAACTTTCATACCTGCTAGATCCTAGATCAATGAGAGACTGTGCCTTCTGTATATTAGAACCACCAAACCCTCCTGTCACAGGACCTAAAGAACCAGTATGAGGCAGCGCTGAAAACAAACAAACAAAAATAAAAAATAAACCCAAAGAAACTGTGAAGCAACCAGGTATAAGATAATGCTTTATAATCAACATTCAAGGCTTTCATAGAAGAAAAGCTAATTAAGTGCCTTGTTGTTAAGATTAACTAGTTAGAACAGAATTAACGCGTGAACTTTGAAAAAAACACCATTTGTGGGCTGTTTTTTGTTTTGTTTTTTTAAACTCTCATGCACGTATTAACATTGCTGTCTGAAATTAGCCACAGAGAAAAGGAGATTCACAGTTCTGAGAGCGAGTACTGGACTGTTCTATACTTACTTGAAGAGAAAGGTACGGACAAAGGCTGCAGAAGGCTGGATGTTCCATTTGGCAACGAGGAGGTACTGACAGAAGGCACCAGGGGAGCAGAAATAACCAAAGGAGGAATGGAAGTCATGGAAGCCAGAGACATGGGAGCTAATGGTGTGATCGTAGACACAGATGTTGGCATGGACAGATTTGGCATACTACCCATTCCTAGAGCAAAATCCAATAATTCATGATTTAATATTGCAGAGGTTTCAGCATGAAATTGGGTCCCTTATGCTAAGCAGAAACTACACAAAGCACTACACTGTGTCAGGAATACAGTGAGTTAAAATAGATGCTCATGTATAATATCTACCTTTTCTCTAAATTTAGACAAGACAGCTCACAGGGGAAAATATACTGAAGAATGTGAATTGAAAAAAAACCTTTATGAACAAATTCATTCTCAAGGTAGATTTAGTTAGTATTCCACAACAGAATAAGAACTACTTTTCTATAATTGTAGCTATTACTCGTTCTTCAACAAACCTTTCCCCATCTGGCCCCTGAAAGAGAATTACAACACACCTCAAAAGCTGTGACAATGCTCTACAGGGAAAAGCTGATGCTGTTTCTGAACTCTCTTCCAAGTGTCAGCCTTGGAAGAATCCATAGGGTGAAAAGTCCTTCCTTAGGGGCCAATGTTTAGCAAAGGGTTTCTTGAAGGCAGCTGCCCAAGGAAAATAAGGGCACTTGAATTACTGGCTGAATGTTGTGCAAAACAACAGGTGAGATGATGGAAAGTTAGCAGGAGGTAACTGCATGCCAACCACAGCTCTCTGTAAATGCATGCCCTTGTATGCAAACACACAAGGGCAGGCATTAGTGAAGGGCAGGCATTCTAAATCATGTATGTAATTAATATATGCATACATTTAATTTCAGCATGGAAGTATGCACCAATTTTTTAATCCAGATGAAGTTATGGATATTTTGTTCTACAAAACAACAAAATAACAGCAAACATGCACTGAATGCCCAAATACCATCAGAAAGGAATAAAAGTTAAAGTAATTCTGTTCAGTTAATCATTTAACCAGAGCAGACAATCTGATTCACTTTGAAAAAATGTGTAAAATAACTGTTCTACCAAAATGTTGATCTTTGACTAAATTTGACTTCAAAACCCTCATGTATAAATAGGTGAATGAGTAGGAGGGAGACAAAAAAGACCACGAGTACAAAATCAGAGCCTGCAAGTCAGATGGCAGACCTGAATGGCCTTCTTGCACCCCATGTCAATATTCAATGGAAGGTTTTTCTTTATTATTGAACATGTTCATAGAATGAAATTATCAAAAACATCAAGAAAGTGACTTGATGAATATCCTAAATAGGAATATCCTGGGGTTTTTTTCACTGATTCACTAAACTTTCATGGTCAGATTAATGCTTTTATTTGGCTGCAATTAACTGTAGTTTTTTACCTCTGAACACTAAGTAATTATATATTCATAAGTACCAAAGCGAGCAGACATTAGTGGCGAAAATACTGGAGCTTGTTTCATGACAGGAGGGAGAACTGCAGGCAAGTGCTGTCCTTGCAATGTCAGCTTGATGAGTTTCATGGCTATAGAGAACTCCTGTTGATCCATTTTTCCATCCTTGTTCAGGTCTGATAGTGTCCTTAAAAACAAAATAAAATAAAAATTAGAAAAGCCCAGGAGGAAGAAACATGAATTTAACTTTTTTAATTAACGAGAAGCTTTTCTATCAGATTTATTTACTGGTTTTGTACAGGAAAACAAACAACTTGCTGCAACCATTTGCTGATTTTCTTTTGACATTTATACCCTCAGAAGTTTAAGAAGTTTCACTACCCACTTTGCAGTCTTCTTCAGAGTTTAGTTTTAAAGTTGCTGTATATTAAATACTTAATTCCTGAGAAAGTAGGAAAACATTTGAAAAACCAGAAGTCTCCTGCCCAGTGGATACACTTGTTGCCTCCACTGCAAGCTTCTGCTATGCTTTTTTCTATGCTACTAGCCAGAATAATTATTTTAAATTAACGTTGGTAATGTAAGGAATTAATGCAAGAATCTGAAACAGGATGCAGGAGGATGCAGAAATCTGCTGAGGGCACTTTCATACACCACTATGAAAACTTCATTAATTCACCAACAGCATAAGGAGGTTTTTTTAAGCCTGATATCCACGGTGTTTGACACTTTTCCAAATAAACTTAAATACAACAAGAAATTCATGTAACAGTGCATACATAGCCACAAAATTTCTGGTCAGACAAATAACATGAAATATTATTAATACTTAAGCGTGCAAGGACCAAGTTCGGGAATATAAATAAAATTAGGAAGGAGGAAAAAAAAAATCCAGACACTGTTAAGTTACATTTTCCCTTTCATTCTGTTACATTCAGCATAAAACCCCAAGGCCTCGCAGAAAAATTTCCTTGCATTCTTTTCTAGGTATTTAAATGTCTGGTTTAGTGGTGAACAGGGTGGTGGTGCTGGGTTGATGGCTGAACTTGATGACCCTAGAAGTCTTTTCTAACCTTAACTATTACACGTGTCTGAAGAAAAAAACTAACTTGCATTTAGTTAGTTTCTTTTATATTCTTTCACAAGTGAGTTGTTCTTAATTATTAAGAGCCTCAACTACTTGCCTTTTAGCCCATGTATGTCTTGGTAACAGCCATGTTCCCCAAAATGAACACAGGATTCTAGTGAAGACCGAGGAGTTACAAGGAAGAAAACATCTGTTTCAAGTGTTGCCATCACCATGTATATGCTGCAGGGAACAGCCCTCTTCCCAGTTCCTGTATTACAGCACTGGTTGGTATCTCACAGTGTATTACAACTGTCCTTCTACTAACCTTTTCACTGGTTTTAGATTTTTTCTTCTCCTCTGCTTTCAGTGTATTTTCCACTCCCAGCCTAGTAGCATGTAATTTTTCTCACACTTAATCTTATTGCCATATTTTAGTGGTTACTAGTATTTCAAACATAATTCAGTTTGGTATCTCCAGCAATTCATTAACCCATTATTTACATATTTTTCCTATATCACTATTTTAAGTGTTATTTTTTAAACATCTTTTTCTATATTATTTAAAATATAAAGACCAGGTTTAACAATGACCTTCCCTCTACGAAATTTGCAATTTATTTTCTTTTTCTGTTTCAAGCACTTACAGTTTAAAAGGGCTGTGTCCAATACAATCCAATTTGAATTGACATCATAAGAAAGATTTTTAAAATACTACTTTTTAATTAGGTGTTGGTACTCACATGGGCTGAATCCTTCCTCTAAATTCAGTAAAATTAATACAATGACTCAGATAACACTCCTACCTTGACTGCTGAAAGCCTCTGTGAGACAACACAACATACCAAAGATGGGAGGTGCGCAGCCTTCAAGTACTATCTTTAAAAAGAAAAACAAGCAGTAAAGAATGCCTTACCATATTTCAGCAAGGACTGAAGCTGGTAGTCCTGACTGCAAAAAAAAGGTACGTGCTTGATCACCTATAATAAACAAGAGAGAAAGACAGCTTTTTACACCAGAGACACAGATTTTAAGATGAGCTCAGCACTCTCTCGGGGGATCAGATTTTCAAAAGGAACCAGCACACTGGATGCCAAGCTTTCCAGGTTTTTTTTTCTCAGCTTTTAATGCTGTTTACAGTGATTGTCAGGTACCCATGTACCATGTAATCCCCAATCCTCGCTCTGAGGAGTGATTTCAGATAGCTATAAAAACTTGAACAGGTCACAAATCAATAGCTGCCAACAGTTTAAAAGATGCAAGACTTAAAGAAGTAAAAATGACTGAAAATTTAGTCCTGTTCCAATTACTTTTACAGGAAAGGATAAGCATGCTATTTCTTTCCTTCTCCTCTATCCCCAGTGAAAACTAGGAAAATACCATGTTCTAAATAATAATCTGTTCTGTCAGATAACACCCACTATTTCAGTATTTCAGGAAGGGAATGGGAACTGTTGTGCAATCCCATACCAAGTTCCACATCAACTGGTACTGATCATGCTGTAAACAAACACAAAACACTCACAGTGGTGTTTATGCTTACCTCTGAGTGAATTACAGATGCTTAAAGCTAAGACTTCAGGTTATTCTTTCAGCTCTCTCTTCCCTTATATTTATACACAACCCTTTCCTTCAAGCATTTGCCAAATAAATAATCAAGCCTTCAGATGCATATGCAGGTAAGAGCCCAGTTGTGGCCTAAAGGCAGTTTCCAGAACTGCCTGTTTTTCAGCTAGAGGTAAACACCAACCTCCTGGCGCTGTCACTTAGCCTGAAGAGGTGCATGTTCCAAACTGACAATTTCCCACTCTCTTCAGTCCTTTCCAGCCCCAAAAGGGGAAAAGCAGGAGCAACTAGACAGGGCATTAGCAGATAGCTGGGCAGGTAGAAGCAATCAGGGCTGGTCTTTACTGCCCACACACAAAGAACAGGGCATTCTTAAATTAAGTCATCTTTACAAATGAACTCGAGTGTTTTCTTGATATCACATGCAGATTCTTACATTTAAAACCTGCAAGTTCTGAGGTGCGTAGCAGCATGATCCAGTTGTTCCACAGCTGAATGCAACTGGAACTGACAGCAGGGCAGTGCAAAATGCCATTAGTGTATCCAGAACCTGCTGAAGGCCCAATGCACAATAAATTCCAAGCAGTCACTAACAAGGACAAGCTGTCAGCATCTCTCTCCCTGCCTCCTCCTCCAAAACAAAGATATCTAACAGCACAGTATTCTCTAACACTGCTCAGACAGAGGAGAACCACTTCTGGTGTCTCTGGCGTCACTTGCCACAATAGCTACTGTAAGTGCTCCTTGGCAGCCTCCCATCTAAGCACAGATTTTGCCTGATACTCTTTGGTTTCTGAAACCAGACAGAATGACAGCACATAGCTGGTAGCTGCAGAAGTGACAGGGTTAATGGAATAGTGCTCCTGTGCCAGACCTTAGAGGAAAGCTTGTAAAGTTTACTAATAACCCGTGGCTGTTTGCCTGAAGAATATGGTTATTAGTCACACAACAAAGGGCTAGAAATAGGATGCAGTTCTCAAACTGTTTTACAAAGATAGGTATGTGTACACAGAAGTTAATGTGTAATGCAGAGCCTCAGACCAACCTGTAATGTAGCCTCCCGTGGGTTTAAGGCTATCAAACTGCTTGTCGTGCTTGGCCCGCTCTTCGGAGGTGATGGCCCATATGTTTGGACCTCCTGAAAAAACACAAACCAAAACAAAATTCCCAGTGAACAACCTTTAAAAAATAAAGCAAGGCGCTTGCAAAATAAAAGCTTGGCTTCTCAAGAGACAAAGTTAGATGTGGACACACCCAGCCCCTACCAGTTTGGCAAGGACGTTATGAAACACAAACCTGCTTCCCAGATGTGCAAGCAGAGCTGAGACAATCCCTCAGCCAGACTGCTTTACCCTCGGCTTTCAAACAAGCTCTGTCGCCCTTCAAAGCTGGTGCAAAGCAGTTTCCTGTCGCTGCTGATTGTTTGCAGCCTGGGCAGGATGCACATGTCTCACCATACCCTGTGTGAGCCAAATACTCCCCTGGTTCACTGATAAACAAATTGCATTCAGTGTCACTCGGGTTCTCGTGCAGAGGGGTAACACCCTCCAGCTGCCAAGAAGGCTCATGCTTGTCTTGTCAATAGTCTAAAAACAAAATTGTGACTGCTAAAAAAAAATATGTTGGGTTTTTCTGACAAAGGAGTGACATTCTGGGTTTTTGTGGGGTTTTTTTGTGGGGTTTTTTTGTGTTTTTTTTTTTTGTTTTGTTTTTTTTTTTTTTCTTTTAGACAACATACAATTTCAACTTCACATTTTTTGATACTTCACAAAGCATAAAATATTGCAGCCACAGGGTAGCAAATAGAAATTGCAGGGAATAGTCATGTTTACAGAGCTGTGCTGATAATACCAGGCAGAACCAGAGAGACTTTCAGAAATGCTCCAACCTGCTGCATAAAGGTCAGGGTGTGTGTCCTTTGCAGGAAAAGCAGTTTGCCAGAAATAAGTGGGTTTGGTTTTTAAGTAGGAGGAAGTTTCAGTCGGGAAGTTCTTGACAAATATTTAATTTTTCATATCAATGAATGTGAGAATTAGCCAAAATTCTGAATGGAAACCCTTGAAACAGCATTGAAAGGTTATTACTTCAAAACATCTCTAAAATAACCTTCTCCTGAGCATTACTACTTCCAAAGAACTGTTAATCTGTTCAAGTATTTGTATTGCTCACTAAAAGACAGTGAAGGGAATAAATAATTCTTCTAATAAGATACCAACAACTTGCCTTAGAAACCACAGCACTTTGAAAGGAAGTTACTATAAAATGCTTCCTCTTTTCCTACATAAATCTTATTTCAAAGCTTTAAACCTACAAAATTTCAAGAGCTTTTTGCACTCTTTTTTCAAAGAACAAGGTGAAGGGACTGCAAGCTGACGTACTTGCCATATTGACACAGTAATAATGTTAATAATCTCTCATCTGTCTTTATCCATATAAGCAAAGCCATTTTCAAAAAAAAACCTTAATGTCTCCTCTCAAGAAGGCCCTGCTAAAACTGCCATTCTCCTTGCATGTGTACAGATTTAATTCTTTACCCTTGTTCCTTAATAGGGAAATACAAATAGTTAAAAAGGCCAAAACAAATCAGAAACTCACTGGGGAGATGATTGACGGAAAAGACGTGAGGGCATTAGGATACAACCTCTACACACTTCAGTTTGGAGCTTTGCTTCCCTCTCTTGGGGATATACCAATTTTTTTTTTTTTACTGTAGCCTCAATGAAAGGGTCTTCTTGCAGGTTGCATGTGAAATTGCACTTCAAGACCTGCCCCCTTCTCTCTTCTGATTAAATGAGTATAAATAAATCTAGATTAGATACTGATAATAAAGTGAAATAAATCTAAATCAGATGCCTGTAAGTCGATGGGCAGTGAGAGCATTCCTGTAATACACAAATAAGGACAACTCATACCCAATGGCAAAAATTAGAGCAGCACTTAGATCTCTTTAAAGTGTTAATTTTAAGATACAAGCAGAAAGTGCATGACGTGGTTATGCTTATAGACATTGTCTGGACAAGACGAAGAAATGCTCCTAAAGCTGCAAGCAGCAACTTCAGAGAACTTGACCATTTTTTTCATTTACGGAAAATATTAACAACATCCCATTTTTCTTATATTAAATACTATTCTTTAATCATCTTTTGAAGCAGGTAGCTACAACACTCCTTGGATTTTTAAAATTGGTGCCTGAAGGGTTAAGACCACTACAATATATTGACATGGTCAGTGGCTGCAAAGGGATAAAAATACATTAACAATTCCTTGACTAGAGTTATGACCATCACCACAGCCTCCCTAAAGAATCCTATTTACATTATAAGACAACTTCTGTTTACATACGTATCGAAATGCAAAACTTCTCACTTGTATGTAACAAATCAAGCAAGAAGATGGCAATCAATCTTGAAAACCTCCTTATATATTTTAGCAAAACACCTCTTTAAATACAATCTGGTAAATTATGTTTCCCCTCCAACTATGAAATTCAAAGTTTTACATAGCAGTGTGTCAAATGTATTAAAATCTTACAGGTCAGCAGTAAAGTCTAATTCAACAAGTGATTCAAGATCCACATTCACCCTTCATTCTCATTTTTGCCTTCATTAACACTCAAGAGCCTCACTATTTTTCGCACACAAAATATTTTGTGCACTTTTACGTCTGGAACTAGAACCTCAAGGTCCCTTCCAACCCAAGCCTGGGATTCTGTGATCTAGTCCAAGCCCCCTGCAACGAGCAGGGACATCTTTAACTAGGTCAGGTCACTCAGAGCACCTTCCAATTCAGCCTTGAATGCTTCCAGGGATGGAGCATCCACAGGTTCTCTGGACAGCCTGTGCCAGTGTTTCAACCACCCTCAGAAAAAAATTCTTCCTTACATCTAGTTTAAATCTGCCATCTTTTAGTTTAAAACCATTAACCCTTCTCCTGTCACAACAGGTCCTGATAAAATGTTTGTCCCAGTCTTTCCTATAGGGCCCCTTTAAGTATTGAAAAACCACAAAAAGTTCTCCCTGGAGCCTTCTCCAGGCTCAACAACCCAAAATTTCTTGCAAGTATAAATTTCCTTTAAAAAAAACCTTTGACTACAACTACATTATTATATAAACAAGTGCTTCTACGACCTTCTACAGTTCTTGTGAGCCAGTGCAAGCAGGTACTGGCACAGGAAAGTGATAATTCCAAACACACATTATCAAAAGAACATTGTGAGAATGTTTCAGGGACCTGAAATAAGTTCTACCCTAACATCACTTAAGAGAGAGTGTCTGCCATCTGCAGCCTGAACTAGAACAGGTCATTGTTTTATGAATACAGGTTAATAACTGTTGGACAATGAAAATATTTGTTTAAAATAAAAAAAAAAAAACAAACCCCAATAGTTCTGGTAGAGATTCACAGTAAGGGCACTTAAACCCCACCCACACTTCTTATTTAAAGGATTCACTTGTTTTTTTCCAGCTCCTACCTCATATGCTACAGAAACAAGATAAAAAGCACAGAACAAGAGGGAAGGTTAAAGCACTGCAAATGCTTAGTTTTAGCTTAACCAGGTGCTCATGACTCTTTTGATGTCACCATTTGGTGATACAATTAAGTAAAATCTGTGTACAGAAAGTATCATACTAAGATTCCTCAAAATATTGAGCAAAAATACCACACCAGTCTATCTGAAATAAACACTTGGAACGACGGGATTCATGAGGTCTTGGCAATTCTACAAAGCCTTGTCATGCCACCATTCTCCAAAGTAATTGTTGGGTTTGCCTTTAGTACAATCTAAACCATCAAAATAAAGACTTACACGGACAAAATTACTTTGAAACTCGGTTCTCCCATGCAATCACAATCAAAACATGCTGCAATCTTCACAAACACTGTGATTGATTCCCGAAACTTCCATATGCAGTAAAAATGGACACTCAGCACAACTGCTGAGAAAAACCACACTGCCCAACTTTTGGGCACGTTGAACTGTGAGGAAGGGAGGAGTACTCCTTTTTTTGGAAGGGCAAAGCTGCAGGAAGAGTCAAACAAACATCTGCTACTCAAATTGTAACATCTAAACTTACCTGGCTTAGCTCAACATTTTTTTGCATTAACATGCCTTCAGTCCCAGGGTTGAGAAATGTCTTGCCCATAAACCAGATCCAATTAATTTTGCCCAGAGATACTTCTGTACTTCTTCCTTCATAACAGCCCTAGTCCCTACTCATGGCAAGTCATCCATGAATCATAAACTCAGATGTAGGGGTCCTCTCTTCACAGTCACCTCCCTGACCACAGGATGGGCAAGAGGTAAGAATCTTCTTCATGGAGCAGTGGTGAACCTTTGGCTCTCCAGAGGTTCTGAGCTGGCATCGAGTAGCAGTGAACTACAATACTTTTAAAAATCAGTTCTGCATAAATCAAAGTACAGTTGCTACTACATGCTCTCATGAGAGGCTTTGTTGCAGCCAATGAATAGTACATTGTTACTTTTCTGACTTAGCTTAAATTTCCTGGATGTTTTCAAGAGACAAATAATTTTTCCCAACTATAGCTGGTAAAATTTTGGAGGGGAAAAATAGTACAATCTCTCTGACAAGATGATCACTCGTAAGAATAAAATCATTTTTCTTCTAAAGGGGTTACTTTACAATCTCACAACTTCACAAAAGAAGCAAGACCCGCCTGGACTGTATATGACTACACTGCATTTTCAGGAATCAAAACTCAAGAAATGTTGAACTCTGGAGGTTTTTCCCCACAGAGACTTTCCCCATAATAGAGTAACTATTGTCTTCACTTGCTTTTTTTTTTGTTTATGAAAAAAACACATCTATATTAGCAACACTTTTGGAAGACAGAGGTTAAACTGTCTTTCTGTTCTACAGAAGGTTGACACTTTCAGAGAAGAATCGGGATAAACGTCAGGACTGGCAACTGTTCCTGAGACTCAACATGGGAAACCTGGACTCACAATCCCAGAAATGTTTCTGCAGATTCCCTATTCCAAAACAGAAAACCAACAGTGAAAGCTCCTTTACTTTCCCACTCCTCAACTCTACAATACATCCAAGAATTCAAAGTCACAGGTGGAATCAACCCATGTAGAAAGTTCATACGGAATGACAAAGACCCACACAAACAACC